GCACAAGACGGCGATGTCTTGGCGAGCAACCTTCCCCCACTTTCACCTGTAGTTTGCCGAACTACGTTGACTCTGACTTTCCCATTGCACGAGGGAGTACGTAGGCATAGAGCGGTGATGCTCTGTCGAGTCTCTTTTCTTTTCTTTTGTCCCTGAGTTGTAGCTTAGATAGTAAACACCCTTTTAGATAGACAATAAAGTGTGGATCCTGTCGAGTACGACGGACGTGAGGGGTGCTAATACCTTCCCCTTGCGTAACCGACTCCCGAACCCGAGATATGATTGCGATGATCTGTCTTTTCCCTTTTCGTTAGGTTTTCTCTGATCGTTTCCTTTCCCTCTTTTGGGATAAATAACGAACTGTGGAAACTCTTCTGTCTTTGCCGACCCCTCTTCGAAGTGATGCAACATCAGGTTGCACTTAACACATGACTCCAAACAAAGAACTGTTCGAGGAGCTATCAGATCGAGATGGTGGGTCAGTGTTGCTGGGAAATAACCAATCTTGCAAAATTGCAGGTATTAGATCTGTGAGATTCAAGCTTCATAATGAGTCAATAAGGTTATTAACTAAAGTCAGGTATGTACCTGATTTGAAGAGAAAATTTATTTCTCTCGGTGAATTCGAAGGGAAGCGATATGTTTTTCAAAGAGAGAAGAGTACCCTAAGAGTCATGAAGGGGTCGAAGGAAGTCTTGAGAGGTGTGAAGAAAAAAGGCTTGTATAACCTTGAGGCTGAAGTTGTAAGTGGTTCGACAAATGTTGCATCCACGAAACCGTTGTCGAAAACAGAAATTTGGCACATGATATTGGGTCATGTCAGTGAAAGGGGTCTGGTCGAATTAGGGAAACAAAATCTGCTTAAAGGAGACAAAGTCAAAAAGCTAAAATTTTGTGAACCCTGTGTACTTGGAAAATCTTGCAGAGTGGAGTTCAACAAAAGCAAACAAAGAATACCTGGATCCCTTGATTACATACATGCTAATCTTTGGGGGCCTGCAAGGTGTCCATCACATTCAGGAGCAAGGTATTTTCTATCCATAGTTGATGATTATTTCAGGAATTTATGTGTATTCATTCAGAAGACTAAGGATGAAACTTTTGAGAATTTCAAAGGTTGGAAGACTCAGGTCGAAAATTATACTGGCAGAAAGGTCAAGAGGTTGAGAACCGACAATGGCCTTGAATTTTGCAATGAGGCGTTCGATAGTTTTTGTGTTGCCTCGGGTATTGCAAGGCACAAAACTACTTCAGGGACTCCACAACAAAATGGTTTGGCAGAAAGGTTTAATCAAACTATTTTGGAAAGAGTTAGATGCATGTTGACTAGTGTTGGGTTAAAGAAGATGTTTTGGGCTGAGGCTATTTTGACAGCAACTTATCTGATAAACATATGTCCTTTGGCTGTGTACGATATGAAGACACCTTAAGAAGTTTGGTCAAGACATCCACCTACTCTCGATAGACTGAGAGTATTTGGCTGCATGGCCTATTCTCACATTAGGCAATACAAGGTCGAACCTAAAGCTCTGAAATGCATGTTCATGGGATACCCTGAAGGAGTCAAAGATTATAGACTATGGTTCCTAGAGCCAGGTCACGGGAGGTGTATCACCAGTCGAGATGTAGTTTTCAATGAAGCTGAGATGACTTTCAAGAAAACTGATGATGTTGACGAAGAGCTAGAATAGGGAGAGATTTCTGTTAAGGTGGAACATGTTGATGCTGAATTTCGTATCCCAGATGAAGTCGAAGAAGAAACTATTGTCGAAGATGAGGAGACTGATAATGACTACCTGCTAGCAAGAGACAGGTCGGGGAGAGTCATCAAGCCACTTCAGAGACTTAGGTATCCAGATCTTATAGCTTATGCCTTAATCTCTGCAAGTGAGGTTCTCGATGAAGAATCTGGAGACTATAAGGAAGTTATGAGGAGTCAAAAGAAGACTGAATGGCTGAAGGCCATGGATGATGAGATGAAATATCTTCATGATAACAACACCTGGGAACTGATCAAGAAACCTGTTGGAGTCAGGTTAGTCGGCTGTAAATGGATTTTCAAAGTTAAGGAAGGAATTGAAGGAGTGACGTCAAAAAGATACAGGGCAAGATTGGTCGCTAGGGGTTTCACTCAAAAACAGGTGTCGACTTCAATGATGTGTTCTTTCTTGTTATGAAGCATAGATCCATTCGAATGTTGCTTGCCACGGTGGCACAGTTTGACCTTGAATTGGAACAGATGGATGTGAAGATTGCATTCTTGTATGGTGATCTAGATGAAACAATCCTAATGAGGCAACCTGAAGGATATGTCAAAAAGAGGAAGGAAGATTATGTGTGCAAGCTGAAGAGATCCTTATATGGACTACAACAATCTCCTCGGCAGTGGAATAGGAGATTCAACAAGTTCATGGCACGCATAAGTTTCATTAGAAGTCAGTTTGACCATTGTGTTTACTTTAGATTTCGACCAGATAATTCATTTGTTATTTTGTTGCTTTATGTGGATGATATTCTAATAGCAAGCAACAATGTCGAAGATGTAATGAGGGTGAAGGATGAAATAAATAAGGAGTTCGACATGAAATATCTGGGAGCTACGTCCAGGATTCTTGGGATTGACATCTGAAGAGATAAAAAGCAGTCGAAATTATACTTATCTCAAGAGGAATACCTACGAAAGATTCTTGAAAAGTTTGGTATGCCGAATTTAAAGTCTGTTGTGACTCTGACAAACCCTCAATTTAAGCTGAGTATATATCAGTGTTCCAGTACTGATGTCGAAAGAGCTTATATGAATAGCATTTCATATGCTAATATAGTGGATTCTTTGATGTATGTTATGGTCTGTATTATACCCGACATAGCATATGCAGTAAGTCATATAAGCAAGTACATGGCAAATCCTGAAAAGGCTCATTAGAAAGCATTGAAGTGGATTCTAAGGTACATAAATGGGTCTCTAAATAGAGTCCTAATTTATGGCGGAGCCTTGGGTGAAGATAGTAAATCAGCAATCGAAGGATATGTCAACTCAGATTATGCAGGTTGTATGGATTCTAAAAAATCTATTTCTGGATATGTGTTCACTATGTTTGACACATCAATTAGTTGGAAAGAAACACTTCAGAAGGTTGTTGCCTTATCAACCATTGAAGTAGAATATATCGCCCTGACTGAAGCTGTGAAGGAAGCATTGTGGCTTGAAGGTTTTGCAAAGGAGCTGAAATTTCAAGGTCGAGTTGTCACTGTTAAATGTGATAGTCAAAGTGTAATACATCTGTCGAAGAATCCAACCTATAATGAGCGAACCAAGCACATTGATGTGAGGCTGCATTTCGTCAGAGGGGTAATTGAGCGTGGAGAAGTCCAAGTGCTGAAGGTTTTGACATATCATAATGTTGCTGATATGATCACTAAGACGTTGTCTAGTTACAAAATTTTCCATTATATGCAATTGATAAAGCTGCATGAAGAAAGTTAGTTTGTTTCTTGATGGTAGAGTTAGATCCAAGGTGGAGATTTGTGAGATATTGGATTGAACTCTAGTTAGCATGTCGTCGAAGTTTGCTCACATGCTGTTGTCGAAAACCTACATATTGTAGTCGAATTGTGTTCTAGTATGTAGTTGTCGAATTGGGCCTTGTGTTAAAGATCCAATTGTTTAAGTTAGATTGTACCCTAAGTTAACTTGTAATGGATAATTGTTAAAAAGCTCATTAGTTTAGTATGTTAGATTTTATTATAAATAGCATACTAGTCTCTCATCTTAGGTGTTGTGTGGCAAAACCTAATTAGGGTGAGAGAGTTATTAGTTATTCTTGAGTACTTGTAATCTGTTTTATAGAGAAATTAAAGAATATCAGTTATAATCAATCCTTGCTATTTTCCTTGTTTTTCCTTAACTCTAACCCTTGTGTGTTTTTTGATCATAAAGAAATCGAGTATATTTTGTTTTAAGGCATCCTAATTTACATCAAAATGGTGCAGTGAGCGTGGAAAAGATGCGTTCAACAAATTTTTGGATAAATATATGGTGTGTTTGTCACAAAAGTGTTGTTCTAAAAATAAAAATCTCACAATGTTTAATGTTCTCTAGTAAAAATCTCCCCTAACAAATTTTGAATTACTTATTACTATTTCTTTGTTTTGTTTAGTGAAGTCATATTAAAAAAAAAACACAATACTCCATCCGCATCAATTTATTAAAGTTCAATTTTTCACACGAATATTTAAATTTTTGTTTTGTTTAAATATGTTTAATGAGAAAAGTTAAAATAAGTTTGATTGTTGTTTAAGAGAAAAAATTGGAGAGAAATCAAATAAAATGCAATTTATGTTTAATTTTATTTTTAAAAATAAATTTCTTAGAATAAAATATTTAAATTAATTAATGTTTTTTTTTATAATTTCAAAAAAATATATATGTTTTTTTCTTATAAATTGATACATTGGTACTTTTCTTTTAGTTATACTAACGTCTTCGTGTATGTTGATATATTTATACTTTTTGTCTGTCCAAATATTAAAATTATAAGACAATGTATTTTATTTAATTTTAGTAATAATTTAATATTTTTGTATGATTTTTGGCTAGAAGTTATTAAAAAATTGGAATTAATATATATTCTTCAATCCTTTTTATAAAAGATATTTTATTTTTTAAATTTGTTGAAAAACTAATGTATTAGAGTATATATAGACTAGATATATTAAATATTAAATAAATTTAAAATTGAATTATAAAAAAAGGACTGAGGGAGTATTTGAAAACACACAAGTATATATTTTTATCATTTCAAAATTAATAAAATCAATCTGTATTGTTTTTCATAAATAAATCTAAACACTTGATTTGATTGAATCCAATGTGGTGCAATATACAATAATTGAAAGTCTAAAATAAAAATAATTAGATCAACCGAGCGGCGGAATAAAGCAAAAGTTAAAGAATAAATGCTTATAGCTCAAGTTATAAATAAAAATAAAAAAAAGTTTCTTCAGCGACAGCACTTTGAACATAGGATTAAGAAAACAATCATAAAGACAATGGAGGAAAGAGCAATTGCCACCCCAAGAACAAATTTATTTGACCTATGATGATGTTCTCTTTTGTGTATGCTATCATCATTATCATCATCATAATCTGAATCACTACTGTCATCTTCAGAAGAATCCTTAGCTGGTGGAGGAGACATTGGCATCCCATGCTTATCACAAGGAGCAATCTCAAGCTTCAATTTTGATGACAGGACAGAATGGTTATAACACAAGTTACTGTTCCCGACAACCTTAAACGTTGTCAGTGTTTTGATAAAACTCATGTTGAATGGCACAACCCCACGTAGGTTGTTGTTAGCTAGATTCAAGTACTTGAGGTTTTTCATTTCTGATATGAAGTTTGGAATTGTCCCATTGAGCTGGTTTGAACTTAGATCCATGTGAGTTAAATCGGGTATTGCGGAAATTGAATCTGGGATGGATCCTGAGAATGAATTTGAAGCTAAGGAGAGATTTTTAAGGGAGATTAAGTCTCCTAATGAAGAGGGTATCTCACCCTTGAAGTTATTTGAAGAAAGATTTAAGCTTTCAAGGCTATCGAGCACGGTGATGGAAGAGGGTATGTTTCCTTTGAGATTGTTGGATGAAAAATCAATGTGGGTAAGGTTGGAATGGATGTGTTTTGGAAGATAACCAGTGAGGTTAGTATTGGAAATGGTTAAAGTTTTGAGCTTTTTCATGTGGGCGAGGAAGACATAAGGGCCGGAAGCTTTTATTGGGATATTTGAGACGGTTAGATCGGTGAGGTTTGCTAGGTGAGAGAGCCATACTCCTGAGATCTTGCGGAGGCTGTTGATGGAGGTGAAGGAGACGAGAGAGTTTGTGAGTTGAGGAGGGAAATGAATGGGGGCAATGGGGCAGTTAAGGAAGTGAAGTGATTGGAGTGTGGAGAGGGATTTGAGGGCATTGTAGGAGAGAGAAATGGAAGGTGAACAGTTGGAAAGGGTTAAGGAAATGAGGTGGCGAAAGGGCTTTGAGGAGTCACATTGTGTGGCATTGTGGAAAGATGGTTGGATGCAAGGGTTTTTGGATGTGGGGATGTTGAGGGATTGAAGGGCTTTCAGTTCGTTTGGGTCAAGAGTTGAAGTGGAAGGTGAAGAAGGTGAAGATGTTGGTGGAAGTGGTAGAGAAATTGAGGTGATAAAGATGGGGAAGAGGAAGAAGATGATGAAGAGGAGTTCCATACTTGATGATGGAAGATAGAGACAATGGAAGTAATGGTTGGAAAAGTGAGATGTTAGAGTGAGTACAAAGATTGGTATGGGAAAGTTATAGTAAAATAGAGATGGGGCGCATATTTACAAGAGAGAGAATGAGAGAAGCCTTTGCAAATTTGGGACTTGGGATTATGATTTACTTCATTGCTTGCCTTTCTTTGTTGCTTTTGATCCAAGACAATTCCAAACATTGCTAACAATCAATAGTATAACTTTTTCAAGACTTGTATACTTAATACAATTGAAGATTTTTAGTCTTAAAAAAATAAAAAAAATAAAAAATTTCAAGACGATAACTATAATTCAGATTTGTGTTCTTTTAAGACGCAAAAGTCAGATATTTTATCTTACATCGTATATAAGATATAATTCAGATGTGTATATCTATGAAAAGAGAAAATACAATATAAAAATTAGAATCAACATATACATTCGGAATAGATGTAAAATTGTGTCACAAACATTTTTTTTAACTTTATAAGTACCTTTTCTTTCTCATATGAAATGTAAAGAGTTTGGTCTATCAAAGTTTATAACATATATTTCCAACCATAGTTCAATATGGTTACACATTTCAACAAAGAACCAATCCTTATGATGAGTTGTGAGTTTGCACAAGCAATGGATCAAATCATTATCCCATGTATGCACCTTTTTACATATATTTCCAAAAATTCTTCAAGTGACTCAACAATCTATAGCAACACAAGTTTCAGCAATGGTCTCACTATCAACTTTGTTCACAAATGGATCTATCTTGACCCAAATAATAGAGAACACAGAGGCTAACAACACTGACCATAGAATAACAATGGTAGGAGTGCGGTTTTGTCGACCCATGAGACCTTTTAGGAATGGATAGAGATGAAAAATCACCCAGAAGGCAAAGAAAACCTTCCCAAAAAGAGGTCCCCAAGACTCATATCCTCCATTAAGTGCATCAGAAAATCCAGCAACAACACCAACCATGTTAATAATGATAAGAGTGGTTGGTGGAATCAAAAGAGTTGTCCATTTGATAATATAAAGTTCGCCAAACTCAGTATCCTCGGCAGCCTTAGCGGTGACAGTGAAGTTGGTATCAACACCAGCCAACATCTTAAGAAATCCTTGGAACACGGCGAACAGATGAGCCGAAGAACCTCCAATCACCCAAAACTGCTCGTTACGCCACAAATCTTCGATACAAACACCACTCCAACGCAGCTCAAGCACACTTGTCACTATAATTGAGAGGAAAAGTCCAAGAAAGAGAACACTTGCAAGATTCGAAAGCTGTAAAAAAACATGGTGTTTGGCATTAGTAGAATACGGATATGTTAAGACTTAGAAATGAAGATTAGGAGATTACCGTTGGTATGATGAATTTTCCTGTAAGAAGGCAAATTGCTGGCAAAGTACAATAAGCAACTAGAGGAAGTGATGTAAAAGGGTAGACAATGGTGTTTATATAAGCTAATCTCTGCAGCCATTTGAGACGGCCTCCTCCAACTGCATACCAAAGGGGACAGTGTCTGCTTAAGAAAATTTCAACTGATCCAAGCGCCCATCGAAGGACTTGGTGCAACCGATCAGACAAGTTGATAGGTGCTGATCCTTTGAATGCAGGCCTTAAGGGCATGCAGTAGATTGACCTCCATCCTCGGCACTGCATCTTGAATCCTGTTAAGATATCCTCGGTAACTGAACCATAAATCCATCCAATCTGAAAAGACAAGAACTTATGTTGATCAATCAACATAAAAGAAAAAACTGTATATTAACATTTAAGCCAAACCTCTTTTCCCCATTCGGTCTTCTCTTCATATCCACAGCTAATTACATGAATGGCCTCCTTGATCAGCATTGAAGGATCGGCGGTTTCTGGCACCCCTCCTCCATTCTCCATTAATGCAGATTCAATGAAAACAGTAGACAAGCCAAAAGTTTTTTCAAAGCTCATCTGTGAAATCAACATTGACCTCTCGTTCTCATCATAATCTGCAGAAAGAAAAGAAACCAGAAGAATATTACAGTTTACAGTGAGATGATTCTGCTATACGCTTCTCTAAAACTGATAGGCAAAATTAACTGTGCTTACTGTCAATCTCCCTGAGATTATAAATGGCAGCTTCAAAATCTGCCCTCTTTGCATCTCTAGAAACTCGCGACACGTCCTTGGTGGATATTGAGGGGAAGCAACAGCATGAAGATGTTGATAAATTGGCCATAGAAGGTGGGCTATAGCCATAAAGTGCTTGTCGATTGAAAACACATCCCGTCCCCACATACATTGGTCCTTGAATGCCATCAAGTCCTCTCATGTTAACCTGAAATGTATATAATTAAAATACTTGTTTGGTGAGATAAATTTTCTATCACATGAGAAAATAATGCTTTGCCATGAACTTACATCAAAGAAAACTGTATTGCGGTTGGCATACCGATCACTACGATCAATACCATCAAATCTTTGGGGGAACTGAACATAACAAACATCTCTACCAACTTCTGGATCCATGAGAAAACACATTGCTTCTCGAACAGCCTTACTGTTGTTAACATAATGATCACAGTCAAGATTGAGAATGAAGGGAGCATTTGTGAGAACTGCAGACACCCTCACCTGCATAGATCCATACAAACATCAAGCATTATAAAAACTTAATGACCTAATATAAAATATTATTAAGGTATCGAATACATACCAGCGCATTTTCAGCACCTGCTTTCTTGTGGTGTTGGTATCCTGGTCTTTTCTCTCTAGAAACATAAACCAGCCTAGGAAGCTCATTTCCTTCGATATCACGGGCACCAGTGTGTCCGAGGAAGACCTGGAAGAAATTTAGCATTGAGAATTGATTACACACTGAAATTAAAAATAATGGATATACCTGAATCATTCCAGGGTGATCACGCGAATTATTGCCAGGCCAAGGCATTCCGTCTTGCATACTCCATCCTTCTTCTGGTGTTTTCTGAGCCTTAGATACCATAGCATTAACCCGTACTTTGTACTCTTCATATTCTCTCTGACAGAATTAAAATGTAATCACACAAATGTGTCGGTTAACCAAGTAGTGAAGTTACAAATAAGTCGAGGAAGCTTTCACATGCTTACCTTCATCGCTCTCCGTTCCTTCACGAAAGAAGGCTGCACTTTGTCTTTGAGGTAGTCAATCTTTTGTGAGAAGTAAAACTCAGGTGCTCTTGGTTCAATTGAAAACTTTTTGCAAAATGGCACCCACTTTCTTGCAAATTCAGCTGTCTCCACAAGAGATTCAAATGTGAGCATTGCTGCTCCATCATCCGACACATAACAAGATACTTTATCTACCGGATAGTCCACCGCAAGGATAGAAAGCACTGTATTAGCTGTAATCAATGGTGGTTCTTTTAAAGGATCGACCGTACTGACAAAGAAATCAACAGAAGCAAGTCCAGAAGATTCACCCTCTCTTTCAAACCTGGTTACGTCATAGCATTAAACATTTTACTCATACTCCGTAATTGTATCATAGTGTTAAACAATATAATTTGTGCACTTACCTTGCAGAAAGGTTTTCGATGAAAGTGTGTCTATTAACCGGAGTCCATTTAGGGAACTGATCCAACACCCAGGAAAACGCGAACCAAATCTCACATATGATAGATGTCAACCACAGAGGAAAAGCACTTTCAACAGGATTTGTAACTCGATAATGGAAGAAAAGACCCAATATTATTAGCCGCACGATTATCACGGTTCTGTATGGTGCGAGTTTGGATTTTACTATTGGCACAACTAAGGAAAGCGGAAGAGCAGCAGCCTCTGTAGACCTGCAAAGCAGATCATGCAAATGTCATAAATGCACGAAACATAAGAATAAAATCAATAGTTTTTCAGGTACAACCTGACGCTTACAGCAATTTGATGAACAATTAACTATTAAAATCCGCGATTAGAAGATGAAACTTAATTTCAATTCTAAATGAACTTACCGTATTTCTTCCATCTGCTGCTCAGATGGAACTGCAGCCTTATTTTCAACCTTAGGTGCAGCCTTTTTATTCTTGTTCTTTTTATCCTTCCCCTTCCCTTTCCAGCTTTTCATCCGTTTTTTCCATGTTGAATTTCCAGATTCTTCAGTTACTTCTTCTACAAGAAAAGAAATATTTTTATTATCAATGATTATTTCTAACCAAATTTTACCACAAAATGTGGTCTAGAGTCTCTCATTTACCAATATCAACTGTCGAAACTGTACTGACGTGTCTAGCATGAAGTCCTCCAACATCCTACAAAATTCAAAGCAATGTTCGTAATTAGTAAATTACTGATTCTAATAACTTCACAATATTCCGAAAAAGTACAGATACAAAGTCCATATTTCCCCTAAAAAAATTTTATTGCTGCCAAAAACTAAGGTCGTTCTATCATGTAATAATTCGTAGTAACTCACTACATCAGAGTTATTGATCTGGGAAGCAAGTGTGGATGGATTTTCGTGAACCTCAATGACATCACCGTCGTTGTTGGCATCATCATCATCGTCATCATCCTTTGTTCTTCCTACGTAAAAATACAGACAGAAACATACTTTAGCATGGCATACTTAACAAAAATAAACATGTATTAAACGAGTATAATGCGCACATGAAAAGATTACCTTGATAGGGAGTGGCACAGTTCAAGCAGACACTATGTCCCTCATTGATTTCATGTTCAAAACATGCCTTACAAATCGGGTAATCACAGTCATGACAAGCCACAAACCTTTCCCCATTCTCACCAAGCAAAAGTTGCTCCCCACATATGTTGCAGAGGGGAGCACCAGATTGCATCATGTTTTGGCTCAGCAGTATAATATCTCTCTGACTATTTAGTTCTCAATCTGTGCTCATATGGAGTAAATATGAAATAGCACAACTCTGTTGAGTGAGTCGTTTGAGAATGCAGTTTTTGTAGTAGTGTGTAAAGGGTGGTGGGTTGTTTTTTGAGGTTGAGTAGTTAGTGTCATGGTTTCACAAAGGTAGCAGCTGAGAAAGACAGAGTTGAGAAGCAGTCAATTTTTTCGGATGATGAAGTGAACAAAGTTTCAATTTATTGCGGGAAATTCTCCATTATGAAGGCTTCACACAGTGGATAGTTGCAAGGGGAAATTCTCCATCATTCAGATTTCCAAACTATATCAATTTAGTATCTTTTTCAAAAATAAAAAATAAATAATCATATTAACTTATATATTATGATCTTCATACAAATAGTCTTGTTTGAACTCAATTTTAACTATTAATCTATTTAAAATCTTTATATATATATATATATATATATATATATATATATATATATATATATATATATATATATATATATATATATATATATATATATATATATATATATATATATATATATATATATATATATATATATATATATATATATATATATATATATATATATATATATATATATATATATATATATAGAATCGGATAATTATATAATGTTTTCGAGCAACATTTAATTTACATAATGAATTTCGAGATGGTATTGATAATTTTCAAGTTAGTAAAATATCATAGGAGAATTGTTGAGATCAACCCAGACGAAGAAAATCCAAAATATCATTAGAGTTTTATGGTAGAATATTAAAAATAATAATTTTTTGTTATTATTATTTTAGATTAATATAACTGAATTTAAAATTACAATACAATTATTTCGTATATTTCGCTATAAAATTTAATATATATATATATATATATATATATATATATATATATATATATATATATATATATATATATATATATATATATATATATATATATATATATATATATATATATATATATATATATATATATATATATATATATATATATATATATATAATTTAATATAATAAATTAATAAAAACATTAATTTCTTAATTAAGAATATTTTTTTTATGTCATTTTGTTTTTATCCGATAATGTACCAACTAATTTATTAAACATTCAAATTAATCTATCAATGATCAGATAGTTATCGGTAATCACTTATCAACTATAAAATAGTTTTACCAATGTGATTTTTATAATAAAATTTATTGTTGATCTCATTTTCTCTTAAATATATTCAAACATAAATTATTTTAAGAATAAGTCACTTCTATTCTTAATCAATTCATTCAAAACTAGTTTTCGTTGCAAAACCAAATAATGTATTTAATCAATATATTATCTATATTTATTCTATATTTTCTTGGTATGTTCTCTCTATCTAGTTTTATTCGTCACTTTTTACAAATATTGATACCTCTACTGTAATTGTCATAGAAATATGTTTCTCTCAGATGATTCAAATATGATAGATAGCACACAACTTCTTAACAACGCATAAGGGGCAAACGATTCACGTTTATGCAAAGATCCGTATACTTAGCTTACAGAACACACCCTATAAATGATCCGTATCTATCAAACAAAACAATATGGTTTTGTGAGGTCAATCAAAAATTCTTGAGTACATGACAGATGATCAAACAATTGTTGGTTCTCGGTACCAAATTGTTTATGCCAAACTGACAACATTAAATTACTAAGGGTGTGTTTGGTTCGGAATAGATGGAGGGTAGAAAAAAATTTTAATTAAATATGTTTGGTTCAAATTTTAGGAGAGGAAGGAAGGGGAAGGGAGCAAAATCCCTCCAAAATATATTTTTTTTGTTCCCTCCGAATTGGAGGGATTTGGAGAGGAGGGAATATGAGTTTTGATATTTAAAAATTATTATATTTACTAAAATATCCTCAGTTTAATATCAGTATTTCGAAACTATTCGTTTTCTTTCGTGTTATTACTTTTTCTCGATTGTTTCCATCAACTTATTATAATTGTTTTCCACCTTCAAATTATGTTAAAATTTCTATACTTAATATAAATCATAATCATTGTCTTTTTTTATAAAAAAAATTATGTTAGTTATATTCGTTTTTTTTTTTAATTTTAATATTTAGTAATAAGTTATTTTATATATTTGTGTTGTTATATGATTCATAACAATTTAAACGATGTTATTAGCATATAGTTTAATTTATGTTGAAAAGTTATAAGTCAAATCAATTGTACTCAATTTTTTAATTTTATGTGACAAATAAATACTTTTTTAATCACTCAATATTAGAAATTTTATTACCAACAAAAATACGCATGAATTTTTCACATTTTAATATCATATGACTTATATAAGATCCTAAGAATAAAAATGTAAATTATTAATAAAATCCCTCCCCTCCCCTCCTGAACCAAACATAATTTTAATTAAAATTTATCTCTTCCCCTCTCCACCTCTCTTTTGAACCAAACACTTATCTGATTAAAAAAATCACTCACCTCCCCTCCCCTTCATTAAAATCCCTCCCCTCCCCCTCATTTGAAACAAAAAGACCCGAAATCCATGATGAATGACATAAGACCCTACTATAAGAAATTACAAGTTGTGTATCTCAATATACTATACTTGCCCCCTCGCACACAGGTTTCACCGATAAATCAGACATTTCGCTCAATGTAAATAACACGGGTCAATTAGTTAATCTACCAAACTCTTTTTTTAAAAAAGATCAATCAAAATTCATGAAAGAACTACATTATTACATTAAAGTGCATTAAAACACACATAAAACCTAAAAAATTGTGGTACTACATAATTTAAGAAGGTATATCTAGACTAAAATCCTGTGTGTGCTTCTCAGTTATTCCTGTCAGGGAGCATGATCTCTCATTCGCAACACAAATCGTTTTGATTGCTCTCCAGGAATACTCAGCTTGAAACTATGTTATAGAATAGACCTTTACGGTTTTAGATGTGTCGCACACAACAAGGTTGTCTGTATCAGCTGAAGTGGTACATAGCCAATTGACCTGTGAAATAAAATATATAAGTGATCGCAGAACAGAAATTTTTGGCAGAAACAGAAAAAGAAACCGGGCACCAGGAAAGTTCCAATGAAATATGCTGCGAAACTCACCTTCTGAGGTACACCAATGTTCAAATGTAGGATATCATTGTTGCTGTCACTTGACCCGGCATCAGTATAACTCGACCAGTTCCATACCTTCACCAACTTATCATTTCCCCCAGATATTAAGAACTTCCCTCTTTCCCCGAACAACGAAAATGCCCTGTGTCACCCAGATCAGTTAGGGGTAGCGTGAAATTGGTTCAACAGTTTCTTAATTAGAGATAAGAAAGTGAACTCACAAGCTAGAAACAGCTGAAGTATGGCCACCCATACTGTAATCAAAATGCAACCTCTTTTTTACATTATGATCCGCATCTGTATTGCTAGTCGAACTACCGTCTTTTAATCTTGGTTGTGATCCTTTTCGTGTATTCGAAGAGGTTTTTGATCTTACAGCAGCGATTTCTGATTCAATATCAATAACATTAATAACTCCACCCCCTGCAACAGCACATACCTTGCCTAATTTATCTACCATGTCAATTTCTGGGACAGCTATTGCATGAATCAAAGAAGGGTTGAAACACTGCCCAGCCCCGCTATTACTTACAGTACCTGCAGTGCAGCAAGGAAGGATAACTGTTAGAAAAAATAAAATAAGTAAAGATGTGAACACTTGTGTTATTGCTAATATCAAATAGCAAAAATAAAAGGGGATGAAGTAGATGATTCTAGTCATCTCGTTCAAAACTTAAATTAATAAATACAAAGTAATTTACAGAAAAATATACCAAAATTGACTACTTTGTAGGGGCGAGCTTTGGAGAATTCCCACAGCACAAGAGTTGAATCAAGACCGCCACTAATTACTGGGAGAAAACAAACATAGGACTTAACTTTCTATAAATAATTAACTCAGGTTTCTAGAAGACTAGCATAAATACCAAACAAACTGTAAAATTTAATTATAAATGGACTTGTGCGTGTGCAAATTCTTTTTATTACTAGCATAAATACCAAAAAAAACTGTAAAGTTTAATTTTAAATAGATACTTGTGCGTGTGCAAATTCTTTTGATTAATATATCCAATTCAATATATAAGTCTATATGTATTTTTTTGGACTCAATATTAAGCAAGACTTTGTTTGACTACCTTCCCAAGATCGCCAAGGAAGGAATTCCACAGTGCTACATATCTACAATACAAGGTCAAGGTGAAATAAACAAAATCAAGATATCAAATTACCCATTACTTAATTATATAAGAACAGAACAATAGGAGAAATTGTTGGACAAAAAGTAGAAAGATGAAATATTAATTGGTTTGAAAAACTTCTAATTTATGTAATTAGCAGCCATGTAGTGAAGAACAGCTAAAAAGCAATAAGGATACACTTGTATGACCAGTTTCGGCTCTCAATGTTTTGTAAAGGCAGTGCTGCTTTATGTCAATTATCTGTCAAAAATACTACAAGTGAATAATAAAGAAAATAAAAAAGTAGAATGCAACATAAACTCAGCTTATTCTGAAATTAAAAGAAATAAGTAAATTAAAAGTGCATACAAAACAATAAACCACAGTACAGAGGAAAAGAAACAAAAACAGTTTCAAAATAATACATATTAAAAACAAACTGTATGTTACCAAGTTTTGTGGCAAGTATTGAAGCTTTTAGAATACAATACAAGGTTATGGTTTCTTATCAGAAAACATATCAACATTACTAGGAATCTCTTTGAAAGATCAATAGTTAAATATTTTAGCAAATGTCACCATAGGAAATAACAAGATAAAAAGGGCAACCTAGTGCTACAAATTTCTAGCAAGAGGGTCTAAGGAAGAGTCAGGCCCATTGTAAATTGCAAGAGACTGAGACCACAACTTGAACCTTTGACCACCTAATCACATTGCAGCAACTTCAACCTTTACATCAAGATTCTCCTTCAATAGGAAGCACAAGATGTATCCAAGAGATATATGGTGTCCAAAGGAGAGTCATAATCTGATCAATACAATAGTGATCAAATAAATGTACTAAGAGTAAGGGTGATATCAAGGACCATATACCCCAAAAGCTTAATGAGGCACTGGGAGACGGTATGTTTACTTCTAATTCCTATCACCTTATATCTGACTCTAACCCACTCACCCCATGTAAGATCCCTTTGGGTTGAAGGCAACTTGAAGTGTGAACAACAAACGGACTCATAATACCTTTTACTGCAATTTACATCATTTTAGATTGAATTCATAGCATTGGTCACACAGACTCAAGTATCAAATGAAGGACCAATTGATCATCTCAAAAGCTTATGCTATAGCATTAGATCAAGCTAATGAATGGCTTTTAAATCTCTAACACATTGAAAGTGGAACAAGATATATTTATATAAGACTATAAATGTGGTATTACACAAGGAAAAGAATAAATATGAGGCATACCTTCACTTCACCACTGTCATCTGCTGCAGCAAGAAATGAGGACCTTGAGTTGCATGTAACCTGCAAAATCATACATAATTGTAATATATAAGCATATTTTAACAAATGAAGGGAACCTCTAAACAAGGATAGGATCAATTAATATGTAATAGAATAGAGTAGTATACAAGTGACTATAAGTTCAGGTATAATGAAGTAATCTAGTTTAACAATTTCAATATCCTTTACTGAACAAGTAACAAATAAAAATTGTCGTATTTGTTCCAACCTAGTGGTTTGGCTATAAGGACATTTCATGTGGAATCCCAGATTCAAACTCAAATTACCACATTACCCCCTCCCCACAAGTATTTATAGGAATAGGTGTTGCCCACTAGGTCAATAGCAACCAAAAAAAGAGACCAAGTCTCTAGCCAACACATGAAATTTCTCTCTGTTGCTTTCAACATATGCAAATGGAATTCCCAATCTAAAGTTTTACATTAAATGAAATACAAGTTACTAATGAAAAACTTATGCAGACTAAGAGAAGAAATATGAAAGATTAAGCCGCTGAAAAAGAAAATTTTCTTATTCCGAACATTGTCCATTAACTTGAGTCATGATTACATTTATTAAGAGGGACTAAAAAATGAGAAAAAAAAAATAAACTAAAAACTACTTCAGAGTTCAGGTACACACAAAACACATGATAAAATCTCTTTTCATTTTTGTACCCCCAAAAACAGTAGGTAGGAACATTCAACAAGATCAAGTAAATGCACAACATTATATTTGAATACAAGTCCTACTATCTAGGGTCTACCTTGTTTATCTCCTCTTTGTTATAATTATAATTCTCCAGTGGCTCCCATTTGGCGGCGGCCTTCAGAACATAACATAGTATACAGATGATCAGTATATTGATTAATGATCTTTCTAAAAAATGTATGTAACTTTGATATGAAAATGAATAATGCAATAAATGTAATGCCAGGTGCCTGCTAGTAGTATAAGGAGAGAAGGGTTTCCTGTAAAAGGAAATAAAAAGTACTGAATTCAAACATCTTTGCCGCCCATAAAATGCTTACCAGGCGCACATCAAAACACTTGATTTCCTTTCCTGATGAGACGTAGATATTATCTTCATTCCCTGATTCAAGGGACAAATGTTTGCAAAAGATATAAGTAAACTTGTCCACTGAACACGAAATGGATGTCTCTAATTTGAATACGAATTTCTTTATTTTATATATAAAATATGAAATATATTATGATGAAGAGAAAAAATCTAAGAGAAGAGGGAATAAGGAATTGTCCTTAACATAAGAAAAAAACCCAGAGAGAGATAGAGAGAATTGGTGGAGCAAAAGATTCAATTCCCAACATACACGTTAGGAAAACCCGTGCAAAACGGCCATGTGCTTTCCATGGACAATTATTGAATCACACATTTCAAAGTAAGGAGCTTTCTATGTAACTTATATTACGGTACCCCTTGCACTACTGATGAGTAGAATCTGTAAATAGATTTATTGACAATCATCACAAATGATCGATCATACCGCAAATTGGGCAGAGATATTGCATTAAAGAGTTCATGTAGAAATGACCAAATGGGAATAATATCAAAAATAAAAATTTTATACTGTTAGGGGTACTCATTCTTCCAGCATACCAAGTTATTAATATGACACAGTTATGGATAAAAAAACAGAGTATTCGTGGAAAATCTATTGCATATAGACATGGGTCAATTTGCTAAGACTTAACACATTAAACCACCCAATAGCTTTATATAAATATTTATCTATGATTGCCGTATTATAACTATCCATCACTTTGATCATGTGTCAATTAAAAAACGTTAATCTTCAAATATACGTATACAAGTTCAAATCATTTATGGAATCATGTGAAATTTTATAGGTTCGATTGCACATGATAGGGACTTTCAACCAAACTTGGGCTTTGGTAAGAATATCAGCCAACAAATGTAACTTGCTGCTTCCGAATATAGGACATAAGGAGCATCCACAAGATGGACATGATAACGCACCACTCAACCAAAACTGAAAGAGACAAAAATACTATATTTCTAGAATTTCAAAAGCCTGTAACAACCCTACCAATGAAATTCCTGTGAAAGCAATCAAATAAAGCTTCTAATAATTAAAAATAATTGGGCGTCCTCGAGCTAAAGAAAGTGGCCTCGCAGACTCACAAGCCTTAGCTCGAGTGGCACTAAGTCACTTTGGGGATTATTCGACCCCTCCAAGGCTGTGTTCCCCTCATACTAGTCCCTAAACCTCCTTCATATCATCATAAAAAAAAATTTCAATACGAAACAAGATCAAGTAGAAAAAATTGAAGTAAACAAAACCATAGCCCTTCCATATTTATAACACAGCAACAAGTTTAAAGCAAAGATTAAGCAGTTGTAAGTGAAATCAAACCTGACTTGAAACACAAGGAAAGAATCGACTCCTCGCTAACATCCATAGTAAGCCGCGGTTCATCATTGCATCGTAAATCAAACCAACAAACTCGACCATCCTATTTTACATAAAAATAAAATTTACACCGAAGAATAAAATTTACAAAACAACACCAATAATAATGATAATAATAATAATAATACAAGAAATTAATTGAAATACAGCAGTGTTGAAGGAAGAACCCTAATGAGAAATTGAAAATGGAGAAAGGGAGTAACCTCGCCGGCAGTGACAATAAGACGAGGGTTTTGAGATGAGGCAATGCAGCAGTTAGTACTGTCTTTGTGACCTTTCAATCGTCGAGCCTTCAGTTTAATCTTTGGAGGCTGGATATTAAGCGCGCGCTGAGCTTCCTGCGCCACCGATACCATTTCCGCTTCTCTGAAACCTAAATTCTCTGTCAGTTTTTTGAGGAGAAGGAAAGAACGAATGTGGTGGTGGTGTTGAGTTTCGAATTTGGATGGAATCAGGCGCTATCGAAGTTGGTGTAATGAAACCGCGCGACGCCGCACTGACACCGGGCACTGATAAACACCACTGGTCCATTTTTTTTTCTTGTTTTGTTTTTTTACTTGTTTCGCGACAACCAACGGAAAAAAATTTATTAAAAAAAATCCGGGTCTTTCTTTTTCTTAACGAACCAAAGCATCAACAACAATAAAAGATGGATTTAGTCCATAAATTTTGTTTTGTCCTATTTCATCATAATTATAATTTCTTGTTTTGTTTTGTACTATTTTGTTTTGTGCAATTAAGATTTAAGTGTCAAAATATCCCCACACAATTTATTTAAGAGACGAGCTAGCGGACAGAACATGTAATTACATTATGCGGAAGAATTCTATGTATTTTGAGAACAAATTGGCACAATAGGAGAACTTTTTGATTTTTTTTTTAAATAACTATATTTTTCAAATTACATATTAAAATAACCACGTTTTAAATTTATTTACCAAATTAACTATGTTTCAGTTGGACGAGGAGACGTCAAGTCTTATGGCGCATGATTTTATTAGTTACACATGGGGATTATGATGAATGACATATACATATACTTGTCGTCACTGCAATTGGTGCATGTATGCAAATGTAAAGGAAGATTATATGCGCAAGCTGAATAGGACATTATATAGCCTGAAACAATCTTCTCGACAATGAAATAGGAGATTTGACAAATTTATGGCACACATTGGTTTCACTAGGAGTCAGTTCGACCATTGTGTTTACTTTAGATTTTGACCTAGAAATTCACTTGTTATTTTGTTGGTTTATGTGGATGACATACTAATAGCAAGTAATAGTGTCGAAGATGTTATGAAGGTAAATGCAGAACTCGATAAGGAGTTGGACATGAAGGATCTGGGAGCTGCCTCCAGAATTCTTGGGATTGACATCCGGAGAGATAGAAAGCAATTGAGATTATGCTTATCTCAAGAGACATACCTAAAGAATATTCTCGACAAGTTTGGTATGTTGAATTCAAAGCCTGTTCTAACACCGACTAATCCTCAGTACAAGCTGAGTACGACTCAAAGTCCTAGTACTGAAGTTGAAAGAGCTTGTATGAATAACATTCCATATGCAAGTATAGTAGGTTCTTTGATGTATGTTGTGGTTTGTATGAGACCAGACATAGTATACGGCATAAGCCTTGTAAGCAAGTATATGACCAATCTTGGGAAGGCGCACTAGCCAGCACTAAAGTGGACTCTTAGGTACATAAATGGGTCTCTGAGCCGAGTCCTAATTTATGGTGGAGCCTGTGGTGTTGATAGCAAAGCCGAAATTGAAGGATTTGTCCATTATGATTATGCAGGTTGTATGGATTACAAAAAATCTATTTATGGATGTGTTCACTATGTTTGGCACAACAATCAGTAAGGGTGTTCATGGGTGCGGGTCGACCCACGAACCTGTTGACCCAAATCGAACCAACCCATAAATTACTCAAACCCAACCATTTACGGGTATACCCAATCCAACCCATAATAACTTGTATAGTTTTGGTTCGGATATCGAGTTTGAGTTTTGCAACCCATAGACCCCGTTGATCCAATCCATTGACGTGTCTTTAGTAATTTCTTATTATTTTTATTATTATTTTAAATAAAAATATAAAATTAATATTTCACTAATAATCATTGTTTTTCCAAAAAAAATTATTCTCCACAAATAATATTAATAAACGAATGAGTTTATGTAATTCTAATATTAAATATTATTTTTGTTTTATTTTGTATAATTTCTTACTTATGTATTTTATGGAAATAGCGTGCCTTGTTAAATTTTATACTATTCTCAATTTTATGTCATATTGACGAATTTTATTGATATTATATTATGTGTTTCATTGAATTTGAATGTTATAAATGAGTATGATTGTATTGAATTGTGTGGCATTTTTTTAAACCAACAAAAAAGAGTCATATATTTTTTATTTGAAACACATCCCGCGAACTCAATCCAACCCAACCCATAAATGAACGAGTTGATTTGGATCGGTTTTGACAATGAAATTGTAGGTTGGATAAAGAACCTAACCCATTGAAGTTTGAACGGGTTGGGTAACTGATTAGGCTAAAATTGGTCCAAACCAACCCATGTACACCCCTAGCAATCAGTTGGAAAGAAACACTTCAGAAGGTTATTGTCTTATCAATCACTAAAACAGAGTATATTGTGTCATACCCCAAATTTTACCCTTAGATTCTTTGATCTTTTGCACATCATCTTAGGTCAATCATCCATGCATAGCTAACCAATTTATTAAACTTTGTTTGTTTGGTTTCATTTGTGAAATTAGGGATGCAGCAAAAGGTCTAAGGGTCATGGAAAGCCTCAATGTATATTTCAAGTCAGGGTTTATGGTATTGGGGCTTGGTCAATTGAAGATCAGGAAGGTTAGGGTTTTCATGCCAGGATTTCTTTCCTTAATAATCTTCAATGATTCTTCAAGGCATTACTATTATGTTACTTATCGAGTCAAGGCGTCTTTGTGGATCAAAATGCAAAATATAAAGCGAAGGTTCGTAGTACACGAGGCATTGCCCTCTTTTCAAATACTTATTGTTGGTGATGCAAATTAGGTTGTTCATTAAGAATACGAGTTGGTGATAAGTTCAAGATCATCCATATGGGTCATTTGGAATCTAAATTACAATGGCATGCATCATTTGGAGTTTTCAAAGAAAAAGCATTCTCCATAATTGTTCATGATTGCAAGGCACTTCCTCCTATGATCAAGGGCTTGTGGATTGAATTGCTAAGGAGAGTGAGCATGTTATGGGAGTTCATTTCACTCATGGCATGGTTATTCTTTCAACTACTTATTGCTTAGGAGTTAGTGTGAATTGAGGAATTAAAGTTGAATTTAGGGTATTGGTCCAAGTGATTCTATCGTTCAAGGCTCATTCAAGATGAAACAAAATTCTTAACGTTTTGTTCGGAAGAAAGTTCATATTAATCACTTGGAAGAATAAAGTTACATATTTCAAGTCATTCATGATTTAAAGGCATACATCACTTTGTCACTATTCATCCAAGTTTTTATTCCAAATTCAAGAACTTCACATGTTTAACAAAAGATCAAGATGTCATGCCAAGGTTTAAAGTTCATGCTTCAATATCAAATTCAAAATTACAAACTTATTCCATTCAAGAAAGACTTTTGGTTCTTATTCATGAAGATAGATCCTCATTTGTTCCCTTTTGATCTTAAACGAATGAATTTTATTTTTTTTCTTAGTGGTTTGTGATCCATGTGCTTGTGAACAAAAAGTTTGGATAGAATCATGAATCAAGTTTAGGCCAAAAACTCTCAAAGTGAAATTCAAGACTGAGATTTTACAGATTTTCCAATTAATTTCGTGTTTCTTACAAAGTCTAAGTTTAAGCTGTGATTCAAATTCAAGTTACAAAAAGCAAGAAGATTTTGTGAGATTGGTATCAATTTTAATTCCAAGATTTAAAGAGCAAGATTCATGTTTTTCAAGATTGAACTCAAATTCAAATCATCATGGGATTTTCAAGATTCAAGTTTTGAAATTCACAAATTCAAGTTGATACCAAAATTCCAAATCAAAGTTGGATTCATAAAAATTCAAAAAAAAGTTTCATTCATACAAAGTGACACAATTCAAGGTCTAAATTCATAGTTCAAATGCAAGTCCTTTTCACAAAATTCAAATCTCAAACTACATGAGGAGTCAAAGATCAATGCCTAAAAAAGGAATAAATTTATGAAAGCTCTTCAAGCGGCAAGATTTTTGCACAATCTTGAGTTAACTCAAGCTTCTTTGTGTACCAATCCAAACTTCGCCAGGATGTTCGAAGCCAGGATGTTCTTCGAAGTAAGCATCATGAACATGAAAAGACCAAAACAAAACACATTATCGAGCACGACATTTCTCTAGACCTGCTCAATCCATTTCCCTGCACAATAATACCATAGTTCAATCATTAATGCAAAGTATGCGGTTGTAATTAAGATTGTGTGCATTAAAAGCTGTACAGAAAAACCATTGGTTTATGTGGTAAATGCACTAATTCAAGATTGATATTGATAATGAATAGCAGTGAATCAATATGCAAAAGAAACATTGACCATAATCTCTAATTTCTATTTGACATGCAATCTCGTTCATGACAAAACGTCAAACACAGTGAATTGAAAAAGGAAAGAACCAACAACATCAATTTTCAAAAACATGTCAAAAATGGAACATGACATGAAATCCTCGTCATTAATCGTACAATCAATCTTCATCAGAGAAAATCAACAAAATAACGGTGCAAATCAGGACGTGTCTCAAACAAAATCATCATCATCAATTTTCATTCATCTAGCATCATTAAAAGCCACAAAATAAAAATGGAAAGTTTCACACGAGATCAGACAGGATAAGTCGAAAACAGTAACTTTCATCATGGTAATCACATGTTCAGTAGACAAGAAATCACAATTGTTTCTTTCCAAAACAAGCTCAAAACATATCCCAAACATGTTCACACAAAGAAGGAAAAATCATTTATCATCGAACAATCTGCAGCATTCAGTTCACGTCCTATATAAGAAGATTCATACACAACCTAAAAAGGGGACGAATTGTAGGCTCACAGGACACAAGCAGTACCGCATAAAATTGACAAAAGCAGTTTCGGTTTAAGAATTATTTTGAGCTTTTGGTTCTAATTGACGAGGGATTGAAATGGAGTACCGCCATGGTGGAGATTGGTTGTGAGGGTGGCTCTGGTGCGGTGGCTTTAAGAGAGAAATGTAAGATAATGAGGGTGACCGAGTGAATGTTGAGAGATGAGTGAGATAACACATTTGGAATTTTTCTTTTGAAGGCTGTACAACATGGATCGGGCA